TATTTCCTTGGGTTAGACCGATTCTTGGATGGCTTAAAACTATGCACTGGATTCTTGAAAACAAATTTTTAAATCTTGTTTGCCATCCAGTTCCTCATCATGCTTTAAGCATAGGCCATCCTCCCCCAAATGGTTATCATGTATTAAAGGAAGACATGTTCAGTCTTCTTAATTCTGTAATGTAGAACAAACCTAATAAGGGAGGGGCTTTTCTTGATTGGAGAATAGGTAGGGTGAGACGGGCAGGGGCTGAATAAATATTTTAGATTATTACCACTTTTTCCAATCACTTAATCATTCTGAATCTTCCCTTGTCACACTAGAATTCGCTGAGAAAGTTAAAAATTAGTGTTTTAATGCCAGGGACTCTACTTTTTAAGACTGAGCCATTCACCCTACCTGTCCCCCCTCCCTTCCTCTTCCTTCCTCTGCTGGGATCTCTAAACATTGTTGCGTTTTTTAAACATTGTTTTTCTATGCTCTTAGGCTTTCTGTGTCCACAAACAGTTCCTCCTTCTATCTGGATAAATCAGTTGTCCCTGGCAAAGGCTGGGTTCTAAAAATTCCCATTCCTCCCTCCTTCAGAAAAATGGCTACGTGACTGTCAGTGATATCAAGGCCAGTCTTAAATGGGAGACAGAGCGAGCTCAGCAAGTGCTGGTAGGTGACTTTTGGAACGGCCCAGGAAAGTTGGGCCCCAGGTGGGAGGAAGTGGGTGGTCAGGAACCAGACAGGAGCTGCAGCTTCAAACTGCTGGCCTCTTGCCTTGAAGCGGACAGTAACCCTGGCATTTCACTGAAGATGGCACTGAAAGGTAGAACACATACAGGCGGCTTCTAACCTCGACACGTGTAAAACCGGCTGCCACTGCTGCTGGGGGGTCACACCTGCTCTCCCGACCGGTAGAACTTGGTCAGGTGGTTAATATAGTTTATACTGAAGTAACCGTTCAGAGTGAAAGAAATTACTAACACTTATGATAATTACATACCTAAGTTATATACTATTGCATATATATCTATAATTATATACTGTTGCATATAGTTATAGTTTTATATATACAAATTTCATGGTACTAATGAAAGATTGATGTGGTGAAACAGGAGTAAGTAGCATGGAAATGTAGGCTTTTAATACCTTCTTTCTTATCCAATTAACCTGTTGACACAACTTCATCTGTAATGTTAACATAGACTTCTGTAAAGATAAACATACACATCTGTTTAATATTGGGCAGAACTAACTAATCTCCAGCCTATTTCCAGTTGTAGGAATTGGGTCCATTGTAAATACTAATAATGACCTTGCATGACGTTCTCCAAAAAGGTTTACCCACTTTATGCAGTAAATTAACTGGAAGATAGTGATTTCCATTTTGCTTCAGGGAATGGAGTCTGTGATTAGCTCAAGGCCATATGCAAATACTTCAGTAGTTTGTGCCTTTATTTAGAGCAGCACAGGTTAAGTGACTTGGTGGCATTTTTCACATCTCAAAGGTTCAGGCCAAACAGATCATTACAGTTTGGTTGGGTAAATGTGTGAAGGCACTTGTGTAGACTTAATTTGAAAACCCCATTAAAGCCAGAATAAAACGGGATTCTCTACCTTTGTTTGTGGGAACTCCCCTTTCTCAAAGGATTCTTCCTTTTCCCTCCAGGAACACCTGCTGAAGGAAGGGCTGGCCTGGCTGGACCTGCAGGCCCCAGGGGAGGCCCACTACTGGCTGCCTGGTCTCTTCACTGACCTCTACTCCCAGGAGATTACAGCCGAGGAGGCCAGAGAAGCCCTCCCCTGACGCTGGGAGCGGAAGGGGGCTCAGCAGCAGGCAGGGAGAAGAGGGAGGACCTGTGGGTAAATAAAACCTGGACAACTTTGTTAAAAAAAAAAAAAAAAATGAAAAAAAAAATACCACACACACAGAGAAATATGTTCCAAGTTTTTTTTTTTTTCTTCCCCCAATATTCTTCACTCATTATTTTATTTTTTAAAGTGCCTTCACATTGCATCTTTATTGGAGAAAACCTCATTTATCCAGGAAGGATAACCTGAGTAACAGAACAGCGAGCACGTAAGATGACTTGCACAGGTCACTGACAAGTCCATGTAGAGCTGGGCCTGGAATGAAGGCCATCCGTCTCCTGGCTTAGACAGTCTAGTCTCTGTAGCCCTGAGACATGAATTACAGCCTCTGTTAATTCAAACTTACTCCTTATAAAATGTTTTGTTTTTTTTTTTAATCTCAAATGAGATCCTAACGTACTAGTAAATTATATTCACTCTTCCAGCATCCTCTTAATAGAGGTTCCAGGTTATGAGACTCCGCTATGAGTGTGAAGGAAAGAGAGGTTAATGTTAAATGGTGGTTATAGGGAAGCAAACAATGGGATTTAAGGGGAACTGACTAATAGTGAATGTAATGTTTCTCAAATTCCCTACTAGCTTTTCCTCCGGGACTGATCACTAGGTCCTCACAGCCTTAGTTGTGGGAAAGGAAGTAATTTACTGAATCCCTACCCTGTGACCATTCCTATATACACCTCACTGCCACCTTCCAAAAAAAAATAGGTATCCTTAACTTTGCAGGTAAGAAATGTCATTTGCCAGGGACCACCAGTTTAAGAAGCAAAGCTAAAAGGAGAGCCAGGCCCACTAACCTGAGCCCTCACTGCAGGACATCCTCCACGAATGGTCAGTGAACAGGAAAAGCCTCTGCACCAGAAAAGCAGGGGTGGCGATGAGCAAGAAGGCCAGTTTAATTGTTTTCAGTCTGAATGCTAAACTCCTAAGGTTGGCTTAGTATAGAAAACCACCCAGTGGATTATCCACACTAAGAGCCTAAGTCCATCTTTACCTCTCTCTGTGCCTGTAGGACACGCTCACTTCCCAGTTTCTGAGCAGGTATATCTTTGGAAGCAACAGGTTCCAATGGCATTCCTCTCCTTTACTGCCAGAGCTACAGCCTTGAAAAAAGACCCTATTTCTGGTTGATGGAAGTTTTACCAGTAGTCCTGCTCCCGTCCACATCAAGTAACTTGTTTTTAGCTTCCAGACAATTCACTGAACACTTCCTTCCTGACCTAGGTGAGATGTGTGGTTGTCCATATCCCATCCTTCCTTGACACAAGCCCTCCCACACCCATAGGCGCTTCCTCCTCTGCCAAACAAACTTTATTGCACCAAAAAGAAAGAAAGAAAAAAAACTTCATTTATGTACAGTCAGATATAAAGACATCTCTTTGACTCCTGTGCATATATTTCCTCAACTCAAGATTAGGGAGTAAAAGTCAGGCCAGTATGCCAGACATGCTCTGCCCATGACAGGGCCAAGGAGAAGATTGTCACTTGAAGGTGGGAACACTTAAATGGATGACAGACAACACTGGACCGACAGACCAAGGGCATCCTTCTAAGCCTGTACCAGCTCTGGAAATGGAAGAGGGAAATTGGAAGGAGGGTGCCTTTTTGAGTCTCCTTACAGAAAGACTACTCTTTAGATATCAAAGATAAACTTCTGTTCTCCAGACCCACTTCCTGTCCAGTTTCTTTGCTTCCTGCCCTCCCAAGTAGGACATTCTCCTTTGTGCCCAACCCCCTTCCCAACTCACCCAGGGCAGTCCCGATTCACAAGGCAGAGGCCTCCATAGCAGCTGGAAGAGCAGATACAAGTATCCTGTCTTACATGTGGCTGGATACTGATTGGGGCCGTGTCATGCGGGTCACCAATAACCCACTGGGAGCCATAACAGTAAGAAAGCATGAGGATAACTCCTCAAAATTGGGAAATATGGACTCCCTCGATGCCCAGTACCAGGGCACCTAAAGCACATTTTTCTGAGCCAACCAGCTAAAGGATCACTGCAGCTAAATACAGATAAGCACACAGCCAGGCAAACACCCATCAGAGCCAGTGACAAACAGCAGCTGGGAGGAAGGGACAAAGGGAGAGAAGGGCAGGAGTTTCCAGAGTTCCACCCCCGATCTCTGCCATTGGCTACCCTTACTCCCCACTAGTCCCTGGGCCTGGACGTGAGGAAGGGGGACTATGGGATGGGGTTGGGAGAGCACACAAGGACAGCCAAACAAAATACAACAGGATCAGCATCAGCCTCCCCCTCACCTCGCCCAGGAGAAACACCCTCATTGTGACTAGTACTGAAAATCTGTGAGACTATTCTATATAGTGGCTCTATCATACATCCAGCAGCTGCCTGAATTGGGAACTTTTTGAATCAATGATTTTTGGGAATAAATAGTACTTTCAGTTTCCTATGGTACCTGTGCAGGCTTTACCAAGACTTTGGTTCAGCCCCATCACATTTACCTTCTGTCTTACATCTAGAAATGGGTGAGGGGGTGGGAGGAGAGAAAGGTGCTCAGGTGCTAAGTAAAACTCACTGATCAGCAGCCTAGATTCCACCACTGTTCCTTCTCTTTGGTCTGTCTAGAACAGTGACTATAAATTAGGGAAAACAAAACTCTGCTGGCCCACGGAAAATAATGGGGGGGAAAGAGGCAAGGAGGAAAAGGGCAGGGGGAAGCCCTGCTTCAAACTGAAGACAGACAGACAACCAACCACCCAGACTGCTTAAGTATCACAGACAGCCCCCCACCCCAAGCTCCCTTCCAAATAACCCATAATCGTTTGGGCACACTACCTCTTGGAATTGCAATTTCTGCCTCCCCACTATCCCTAAGGAGCTGGCCCTTCGGAGAGGTGTGTCGGTTGTTTTGTTTTTGCCAGAGGCCCTCGCCCTAGGTGCTCCTGCATAGGTCCCTTGGCTCCTGATATGGGATGAACACAGCCCAGATGCTCGAGAGCCAGGGAAGTCAGATCAGCCTCCCCACTCCCACACCCTGGGAGATCCAAGCTTGCTTGGTTCTTGCCATCTTGCAGGATGACGTCACGTTGGAGGGTGATACACAGTGCCTCTCCATCCCTGGGGTGGGGGAAGGAACTTGCTGGGACTCTCGAGTGGGGGGAAGGGAGAAGGGAGTAGGATCTAAACCCTCAAGCTCCCATGCAGGTCTGTCTCTGTCCCAGACGAGCTGCTGTCAGAGTCCATTTCGGCGTTTTCATTATGGAGCCTCTCCAGCACTTTCTGACGAATCAGTCCCAGGCGCATCAAGAGGGACTGGTAGTCAAAGTGGCCCCGCTTCTCTCCAAAAGGGTCCTGCAGGGGCAAGGAGACGGGGATGGAAGATGCAAGCCTGGGTGGCTCACCCTCGCGAGAGCAGCTTCAGGCCCATGTGAAACGCATGCTCAACTTCTGAATCACAGAAAGAGAGGAGGGCACAGCACAGACAGTTCTGAACAGCAGACAACATAATCTTTGATCAGGAATATTATGGCACATGTACTGCCCCAGACAGGTCTGGCTTTGGCCAGCATTCAAATGTGTTTGCATTCCTCAGAAACAAGTCAATATACAGAGGTGACACTAAAGGCAAGATAAATGGGGAGAGAAATACAGGACCAGGATTGTAATAAAGTGTAATCTGTGTTTCCAATTAACCTCAAAAACTATACAAGGCGGAAATTATCCGTCACTGCCTATAGAATAGGTCCTCAAATCACTCTGGTTCAACACTGATGCCTAGGAATGTATTAATAACTATTCTTTTTATCAATTACTAGTGACCTGGTGCATGAAATTTGTGCGTGGGATGGGGTGTGTGTGTGTGTGTGTGTGTGTGTGTGTGTGTTTACCCTCAGCCCAGCCTGTATCTCTCCAATTGGGGACCCCATGGGGGATGTCCGCCTGCTGGCTTAAGCCTGATCCCTAAACCAGCAGTTGGACAGCTGGCTCCTAACTGCTCACCTGCCTGTCTTATCACCCTTAACTGCCCTCTTCCCCTGCTGGCCTGATCTCGCCCCTAACTACTCTCCCCTGCCAGTCTGATCTTGCCCCCAACTGCCCTCCCCTGCCGGCCTGATCGCCCCTAATTGCCTCTGCCTCAGACCCCACCACCACTGCTTTGTCTCGAAAGAAGTCAGACATCTAGAAGAAGATGGCTGATTGACACAGTCTAATTAGCATATTACCCTTTTATTAGTATAGATGGTAAACTTGGTTGTTTTGCTGCTGTTCCAAGAACTTAACAACATTAAATGAGGATTTACTGTACTCAAAAAGGGTAATTTGTTTTCTAAGGTCACAGTGAGGTATAGAATTCTGACTTCTAAATAAGCACCTGTACTCTTTCCCAGGGACCAATCACCATATTCCTGTCCAGGTTTCTGGGCACCACTCCAGGGCCAACTAGCCTTGATCCTAGTCCTTGTCATTCTAGATCAAAGATCTCCAAACATCATACAGAAAGGGCTTAACTGTCCTGCAAGTCCAAAAATAAATACTGTATTTTCCGGTGTATAAGACGACTTTTGAAAGGAAAAAAAGTCAACCGAAAATCAGGGGCAAAAAACCAGAATTGCACAAAAATTACCTGCAAAGTAAGTCTTTTCTTTGAAGTGGGGGGGGGGGGGGGGCAGACTTATAGACTTATACAGCGAATATAGGCCTAAACCTATGTTTTAACTGTAAAATTAGGGGGTCGTCTTATACGCCGGAAAATAAGGTAGTTGGGATGAAGGATATAAAAAAAGGAATGAAAACAAAACAAAGAATTAAAGATGCTACATAAGCCGAAACCGGTTTGGCTCAGTGGTAGAGCATCGGTCTGCGGACTAAAAGGTCCCAGGTTCGATTTCGGTCAAGGGCATGTACATTGGCTGCGGGCACATCCCCAGTAGAGGATGTGCAGGAGGCGGCTGGTTGATGTTTCTTTCTCATTGACATTTCTGGCTCTCTATCTCTCTGCTTTCCTCTCTAAAAAATCAATAAAATATATTTTAAAGATGCCTCATAAGGAATATGGCAGCCTAAAGTAGCATGGCTGAGGCTCAAATAAATGGAGAGTCCTTTCCTTGGCAGTCACAAAAGGCATAGGATTTTTACTTCTCACAATCTGTCTCCTTTACCCACATAAACTTCTTCCAGACTTCTGCCCATATATTAACCTCATGATCAGGGACAAGGGACGGAAGTCACAGTCACTGTGACTATAGCGCACATTTTACACTTACAAAAGTTATATTCCCCCAAAGACTGAAATCCACACTTACTCTGGAGCTATCAATTTTCTAAATCTTCCTTTTTTTAAAAAAAATATACTTTTATTGATTTCAGAGGGGAAGAGAGAGGGAGAGATAGAAGCATCAATGATGAGAATCATTGATCTGCTGCCTCCAGCATGTCCCCTACCAGGGGATCAAGCCTGCAACCTGAGCCCTTGTCTGGAATCGAACCCGGGACCCTTCAGTCTGCAGGCTCTATCCACTGAGCTATGCCAGCCAGGCCAAATCTTCCTTTTTTCGTCAATGAGTCCATTTCTACCCACTGTCCTTCCCAGATGTTGCGCTCCCTTTCTTTTCCTCATCATGAGTTATTTTTCCTTAATAGACTTAATATTGGAAATGCTGCTGGGTACCAGCAATGAGAATTCCTGATGGGGAGCAAACCACAGCACCCATCATCTTCAATATACTTTTTTAAAAAAATATTTTTTATTGATTTTAGAGAGACAGGAAGGGAGAGGAAGAGAGAAAACATCAATGAGAAAGAAACATTGATCAGCTAGCTGCCTCCTGCACGCCCATTGGGGATCAACCTGGAAATCTGGGCATGTGCTCTGACTAGGAATCAAGGCTCAATATACTCTTGAGCTGGCCTTACCCTTTGAGTTTAAATGTGTCAGGTGGGTGTGCAGTCCTTGAAGGAAGGATAGGGAAACTAACATTTTTAAGTAGCACCTGAGGGAACAAGACATTCACTGCTGCTGCTGCTAGTGCTGGGTGGGAAGTGGGAGGGGGTGGGGCAGAAGAACCCAAGAAGAGCTGGAGAGAACCTTAAGAGGTCTTAGTCACTTACCCACTCGCCATATTCCTAGGTAACATCACCAGTAAGTGATCCAAAAGACTCAAGAACTAGTCCTTCAATACTGTGGGTTCTCACACTCTACCGATCAGGCTGTTTATTGTGAAGCCTATTTGCAATTTGGTTTAATAAGAACCTCTTTTTTTTAAAAAAATTATTGATTTCAGAGAGTAAGGGAGGGGAAGAAAGAGATAGAAACATCAATGATGAGGAGGATCATTGATCGACTGCCTCTTGCATAGCCCACATTGGAGATAGAACCTGCATCTAGGGCATGTGCCCTGACTGGGATCGAACTGTAATCTCCTGGTTCATAGGTTGAACCTCAACCATGAGCCCCACTGGGCAGACTAAGAATCTCTTCTTTAAACAAGCCTTAAGTTCTGTATTCTTAAAAATAAATAAATAAATAAATAAAATATATATATATATATATATATATATATATATATATATATATATATATTGACTTTAGAAAGGCAGGGAGAGGAAGAGAGGGAGAGAAACATCAACGATGAGAATCATTAATTGGCTGCCTTCTGCACGCCGCCCCCTCCCCCTTCCCTCTTACTGGGGGTTGAGCCCGAAACCCAAGTTTGTGCCCTTAACCAGAATCAAACCCAGAACCCTTCAGTCCACAGGCCGACACTCTATCCACTGAGCCAAACCAGTTGGGGCAAGTTCTATACACTTATTGGAAACAGAAGCACATTTCCCCAGTATATGCACAGAATGAATAATTGGTTACCATCTTGTAATAGGAATCTCAACATATAACACTATATTCACAATACTTCTCTAAGCCTTCTTTCTCTTAGCATCCCTCTGGACTAGGGATGGACTCCAATAAATGACTCTACCCTTACAATCCTTAAGATTCTGAGAGCTGAGTGTTCTTGATTTGAAAAGACTACTAACCAGGAAGAGTTCTAGGCTAGCATAATTCATATTCTGCTCATGAGTGCCTAGTTTATGCTAGGAAATTAGAACCAACTCCATGTGGCTTTAGGCAAGTCAATCTCCTCTCTGAGCCTCAGCTACTCAACGAAACTAGGTTCCTTTTGGCTCTATGAGAGGGGTGGATGTCATTCTAGAGGGGGATTTTACATAGTCTGCTGGAAGGCTCTGGAGTCAACAGCAGGCGCCTCATTACCTGCATAGTCTGGCCTTGAAGATGCAGGCGATCTTTGCAGGCCACCTCATAGAAGTCATAATACTCCAGGAAGGACTTCTCCATCACTCCTCTAGAAAACAAGCAGAGAAGCTTAAGTTAGGAACAAGGGGGCAAGGGGTCATTATCTAAGCTTAAGGCCAAATTAAAGAACTAGAGTTCCTAAGCTCATGGTTAATTTCTCTAAATCTTAAGGATTATAAAATGAGTGTTAATACCAATCATTCCAATCCCAACTTCAACTCATGTCTTGCTCAATCTCATTTGTTTTCCATAGGCCATCCTTAATTCCAATCCTTACTCAACATTCTCCAAGGAAGTTTGTTTCATTGCTCTTGACTTTATTCTTGTTTTAACACTTAGAAATAAAGTTGACATTAAGATATAGGTTTATTATGACGTGCTCTATAACGCTTTTGGCTGTAGAACAGTTATGTCTTTAATATGGCCAGATTCTCGAAATGGGGGCTCCCTGAGGACATAAACTATATCTTTCCATCATGTAGAGGGCCGCCTGGGAAGGCACATGGGCAATTTTCCTTAATTACTGTCAGCTGAACTCAAGGCGTAGGTAGAGCCACGCCCTGGGAACATGTTTTCCCAAGATGGTAGACATGTTGTCAGCTTGGCCTTCATATCAGCCCAGGTGTCGGCAGGGGCAGGACCAGGCATGCTAGGGCCTACTTAAGAATGCAAATAAGTTGGTGATAACTTCCTGGTATTGGGGTATAAAATAAATGCACTGGGAGGGGCCGTCGTTGTCTTCTTCCTGTCTCTCCAGCAGACAGGATGATGGCCCTCCCAGCTCCCAGCTTAAAATCTGTGTCTTCTCTATTTCTATTATTTCTCAATCCCTGGCCACCTCCACTTAGAACCGGTTCATTCATCTCTCTGTGTGGGACATGGAAAAGGAAGATCCCAGCCATGTCTGGCCCCCTTGTTAAAAACAGCAAGAGCATAGAATCTCTCTGAATTCCTCTTGGGGAACCCTCTTGAACCACATGTTTTTAAACCACTTGCTTCTTCTCTGTCTCCCTCTGGTGCCCAACACTGGATTTTGCCTCAAAAGTTATCAAAGGTTCCTCTTTGGAAGCCAATAAACAAAACAAAACAAAAACAAAAACCAACAACAAGGGAATTAAAAAACCTGATGAACAATAGTAACTGTTGAATATAATAGAATCAGAGGTATGGAAGGGGAGTGGACTGATGATTCTCGGGGAAAAGAGGAGTGGGGGGTGCGGGAAGAGACTGAACATAAACTGTGCACCTATGGATGAGGATAATGGGGGGTGGGGAAAGGGCAGAGGGTGGGGTGGGAACCTGGTGGAGGGGGAAAAAATGAGGAACTTTTGTAATAATATGAACAATAAAGGTTTATTAAAAATAAATAAATAAAAAATATTTACTGGGGGGAAAAAAAGTTATCAAAGGTATGAGCCAGTAAATCTCCAAAAGAAATACAAGTTCCAAGTTCTTGAGACACATACCGTAAGGGTTCAGGGCAGGGGCACTTTCCTTCCATCATGTCACAGACTGCCACTCTGATGGTCTCATGCCGAATACACTCATTATAATTTTTGCTGTCTCCTGGATGTCTCTCCTGTAATATGACAGACACCATAGAATCCAAGTACAAAGAGAAAAGCCAATGGGAAGAGACTTCAGAATTAGTATGGGGCATGTGACCCAAGCAACTGAACAAAGGAATATCTTTTCACTGTATGGCAAACCCATTAAAGAGCAACCAGGCCTTCATTTTTGAGACTGTTTACCTCCTCCCAATGCATACTAATACCCATCTTCTGTTACGAGTCATGTGATCTATAAGCATCAAACTAGATCCATCACATTTTCCAAAGCCTGAAGTGAAAGGCCTCCAGGGAAGGATTAGTGAGAAATATCCAGTTATGCATAAATGACGTCAGGAGTCTCAGCCCAGAAAGTCTGTAAGATATCAGGATGCTTCCTGGTTAACTCCTTTACACATCTGTATGATTCTACCATTACTGATTAATATGTGAATTTCTCCCCAGTAAATACATCCATGTATTCAACCAACAGCTGATTAAAAACAGTATCTTCACATTCCCAACCATGAATAAAAAATACTGTTTTCAATCCACAGTTGGTTGAATAGATTGATGCAAAGGGCCCATCATAGTCAAAGTTATATGCAAATTTTCTTCCTTTTTTCGGGGGGGGGAATATATATATATTTCAGAGAGGAAGGGAGAGGGAGAGATAGAAATATCAATGATGAGAGAATATCATTAATCGGCTGTCTCCTGCATGCTCCCATAAACCTTGACCAGAATTGAACACAGGACCCTTCAGTCTGAAGGCCAACACTCCATCCACTGAGCCAAACCAGCAAGGGCTGTACATAATTTTCAACTGTGGATTGTTCAAGGGTCAACTCTAATTTCCTAACTCCCACAGAATGCCTGGCTTGGCAGCAGTAACGACAGAACCGCTCACTGGGACATGGGGAATGGAGGTGTGCAGAAGAACACAGTGGGTAAGACAGCCCCCAAAGCAGGCCCAGAATTAATTTCCAAATGATTCCACTGACGTCCACATGGTGGATTAATCCAAGTCAAATGGAAATACCTTGAGTGTTATTGTAACTCACAAGGAAAAAAAAGTCACTAATGAGGAGCACGCATGTCAGCTTCGTTTTTTCTCCTAAAGTGACAAGTTGAACACATAGGCTAAGCCAGGCTAAAAACAACAATCCCAAAACCCTTGAATAGACCTCTCAGATCTCTTAAAACCCAACATTCCACACCCCAGAGCTGGACCCACCTGGCCTTACCTGCTCAAAGCCAGGCTCATTGTGATAGGGGTTCTCAGTCATCAGGGACTGGATGGAGATAAGGACAGAAGAGATGCTCTGGGCTGGGCTCCAGGCAGGGCCAGTCCATGTCCTGCAAAATACATCAGAGGAAATGGAAGAGGGATGAGGCACAGAGAGAGGGCCAGGGCAGCACAACCTTTCTTTCACTATTAATACTCTGGATTTTCCCAACCTCTGTCTCACCCTCATTCACAGGAAATCAGTCAACTGCCTAATCCTCTTATCAAGTGGGACAAAAGGGGGTAAAGCTAGCAAGATAACTTTGAAGGGATTTTCTTTGGGTTAGGAAAGAAACAGTAGCTGGGAAAGGTCCTGTTAATCAGAATGAAAAAAATAAGGTGAGAAAAAGCTCCAAAGGGAGTAAAAACATTAGCTTCTGAGGACCTCAAAGAGCTTAACTTACTTACTTATGGGTGTGGTGGAGTTAGGAGAGAACAGTTGCGCACAGAGGGACAGAGGGGACAAAGCCATGTGGTTCGAGGCCACATGGTGAGATTGATGATCAGGGGTCCAGTTCTCTATCAAGCCCCCAAGGGGTGTCAAATTCTCTGATTACAGAATTCTGCCAAGGACATGAAGGTAGAATAGGGGCACTTCTATATTGTGGAGGGCCTGAGAATATATGGAAAACAACCTGAAGGGGAGAGAAACACCAAAACCACTCCTCCCTTTCATAAATCTGACCAAATAGTCAGAGGAAGAGGGCCGGCTGGCCATTAATGGTATTTTTTCAGTAATTGATAAGAGGGCACCTGAGCCACAAAACTGCTTCTTCAAGTTAGCTGGTCAATTCTCCTTCCCCACTGGACTCGGAGAAAGCCCAAGGAAGCGATTCGAAACAGTAACTACGTCAGAGCTGGCCCTCCAGTACCTCTCAATCTGTTCTCAGCTGTTCCCCCCAAAACTGTAAACTTTGTGCTGGGTGTCACATATTCAGGGATTCAAGTCAACATGGTACTTTCATTAAATTTCTTTTGTAAGTCAGCCCAGCATTTTTTTCTAGGTAGGGAGGAAAGAAAGGAGGCCGATAAAAGTGAACATAATCACCCAAGAACTCCCGGGAAAGTTCTACTTCAATTCTTTGTGGCAAATTTTCAATTTCTGGGAAGCTTCTTCTTTTCCACCCAACATACTTCTGCCACTTCTACCACCACCATCTTGCTTCCCCTATTTCTACTGTGAGCCGGTGTTTGCTCAAAATAGTTTTATGTTGGTCTAATGAAAGAGAATTTAACACAAAACACTTTCGTGAACAAACTTTATACAGAAGCAATAATTAAATTTCTTTACCACTGTGGGTTACACAGACCACTATCCTGCCTGCAGACAGTTCTATACCCTAGTGAGATAAAGGGCTTTCTTTAAGGACAACCTCCTTTACTGGACTTCCTTACTGTCACAATCATAAAATATACCCCTAGGTCTGAGAGATTAAAAAATATATACGTCATGTCTCCAGTTTGTGTCAGCTACCTTGTCCACACACAACCCTGGAAGTTATCGGACAGGAAGAAAGGAAACTGGATCACAGCACGGGTAACTTTCTCAACCTGCGCTTGCTCTCTGCCCCGGGGAAATTCAGACCACACTAAAAAGACCGATTCAGAATATATTAGAAGACATTTCCATTCTGAATTTTCAAACCCTTAATGCAATTAAAAGGAATGGATGAGAACTACATGAAGCAAAATCTCAGGTGCACCCAGAAATGAAATGTACTTAAAACTTCTGTGTTTTGTATGTGATGTGATTTCCAAGGTCAGGCATTTTTCATTCAGTTGTTAAAATATTATAATTACCACCACCACCAGCACCGCCTCCAAAGCCACTCAACGAAAAGACTCAGAAATAAGACACCCACAAGCTTGAACGACACAGATCTGCAGCCTTTCTCAACCTGTTTGGGAGAGAATTAAGCCCTGATGCCCTACGGAGTGGTTCTCACGCGGAGTGGGCAGCAGAATCGCCTGGAGGACGGAGAAGACACAGACGCTGGGCCCAGCCCTAGAGTTTCTGATACAGCAAGTCTAGGGCGGGCCCAGAATCTGCAAGGCGACAGTTCCCAGATGCTGGTGCTGCTCAGGGAGCACCACTTCCCTACGGCATCCACTGTACGGAATGAGTTAACTTCTCTCTTTTGCATCTGGAATGAGGAGAATTGAGGAAACAGTCACTCCAATTGTTTTCTGTGTTCTGTAGTTCAGGCGAGAAACTCTGGTTGATAAAGGCTGGCCTAGAGTAATTATTTGCTAACAAGCAACTTGGCCACTTAGAAGTCTCCTCTTACCCTAGAATACTCAAGCAGACTTTCCCATTGCGGTAGAAGTTGGGGTTAAACCTCACTGTGTTATTGCCCGTTGTCATCAGTTTGACCCGAGGAGGGTGGATGGGATAGTCGGGCGGACACCGAAACACGAACAGGAAGAAACCCCCTTCATAAGGAGTGTCAAATGGGCCTGTGATCAATGCATGAATCTGCAAAATAAAACCCCATCTCAAAATTGTGAGGTGATGTCCCATCCCAACCCCTCCTGGCTTCTACTTGCTACCCGTGCTGGAAGCAGGGCCTTCATTTGGGAGCCACAGTCCATATCTTCTCCATGCAGAATGAACAGCCTGTACTCACTCAGATTAATGACCATGTTTGGCCCAGTGGAGTGGCATCTTACTCAGGGGTTACATTCTAAAGGTAGGGCCTAAGGTGAAAAGCCAATCTAGTCAAAATCATCCTGGAGTACCCTTAAAACTCCCTTAGAGCCTGTTTTTTCCCTTGAACTTCTCTGACCAGTGTTAGGTATAGCAAATGGATAGAACACCGATGTGCAAAATATAATATGCATCTGTAAAGTCTTGTCCTAACGTATTTTAAGAAATATGTATTTTTTTCTGAATGTGTGTTTGGATTTGTCCAAGTTTAACATGCGTATGATGCAGCCCCACCCTCCATCTGTGTGGCACAGAGGGGAGGTAGGATGAATGGAAAAGAGGAAAGGGACTGGAAGCCACAACACCGGTGCCGGTGCCGGTGCCGGTGCCGGTGCCGGTGCCGGTGCCAGTGCCAGTGCCAGTGCCAGTGCCGGTACAGAGCTGAGGGTTGTGCTGGAGGCCTAGGGTGTGTACTTCCTCTCCAGAGGATCAAACCCACCGGAGAGGGTGTGGCTCAGGAGCATCCAGCTGTGTCAAAGGTACTAAGAAAAATATGAAAACCTTATGGTCTACTGAAGAGCCATTAGACCATCCCCAGAGCTTTCCCCGACACTGTAGGTTACTTTTTTTTTTTTTTAATTAAAAAGGAAAAATGCAGTAGCACTTAAAACAGAATTCACTAAATTCTCTTCCTCCAGAATGATTATTGAACTGTTATATTTCTTCTACAAAGGTTCCTAGGCATGTGAGTCTACTCAGAATTTGAACAGAAAGAAGGGCCTACAATCCAATGCTTCAGTGTAAGTCCTCACCTCGCTCTGGTGGCACCCTAGGTTATTAGCCCTCAGTCATTGGAATAGCAAGCTCAACTGGTATAACATGGCATCCATTCTGGGGACCTAGGGACTAGCATATTAATACTGATACTTGACTGAGGACAAGATGTTCCAGGAAAAACATTTTTAACCACAAAAAATTTTGTTAATTGTATTGTTGGTATCATAACAGATACCAACAATACAAAATCTGAATTTCTGCTGTTAAGAAATTTGAAACTCTTGACTTTTCATTAAACATGAGATTTAGGAAATCTGATTTCTTCCCAACATCAGTTTAAGTGCAAATTCACTTCTGAGGGTAGAACACTCAATGATACACAGAAGCCTGTGTATCTATGCCAGAGAAATTGGACATTACATACTAAGCTTTTTGTGTTTTGTGTGTGAAGGACAGAGAAGAAAGGTATTTGGGTGGAAGGGATACTCAAAAGCAACAGGAGCCTAACAATGCCTTTTAGCTACAAACACTGTTCCCTTGAGCTTGCCCTAGGCCCAACCTTCTCTGCACCTGACTTATAGCAGCTTACTTAAAGGTCAAGAGCGGTGGGGTGGGAGAAGAGTTGGGTAGTACAATGGTAGGGTGACCACATAATTTTTATCCAAACTGGAGCACTTCTGAGAATGAAAGAGTGCTCTATGAATAGTTAAGCTGGAACGAGAGGTGTAAAAGGATTTTCCAAGCCAAGCAGGACCTACTGGCACCCTAATAAAACACCTGTTCAAGGCTTTGTCCCATCTCCCTGTGTACTCTGGGGCAAGCCATTTACTCTCGCGGGGGCTTGATTCCTTCTGTATGCAATCAGAGACGTGAGCTGGGTAATCTTCTAGACTCTTCCAACTTTAGGGGCCCAATTTCCCAACAAATCCCGACTCCCAGCAAGCTACATACCTTAGTCATGTCAACAGTATCAGGTACAACGAACATTCCCGGAGGAGGCTCCTTATAAATGGACATGATATCCCTGTATAACACCAAGAGGGGATGGGGGAGGGAGTGAGGGAGAGGAGAAAAAAAGGGGAATCCCTTAAACAGGACAGTTGTTATCACCTCAGTGAGGCCAGGGTTCGAGAAAGTGGTGCTTGGTACCATAAATGTTTGCACTGTCTTGTTGGATGAGAAATCTCAGCTGAGTACTTGTCAGGCAGACAGAGAGCAAATTATTATCAAAGGGGCATTGTTTCCTCAGGGGGAGGATGAGGAGAGGGGGGTAAAAAATCAGAGATCCCAATGGCATCAGATGTCACCCCGGAAAAGCCACATCCCATTTACTCTCACTTCCTCCCACATGGCAATTCATTCACTCCCACCCGGGAGTTCTCAGGTGCTACGGCTGAATCTTAAATGAAAACTTTTTTTAGTTAACTGGGAAGGCACCATCAACCTCCCTAAAAAAATGATTTCCATAAACCACTGTGGACCTTTGTTGGCAAGTGAACTGTCAGGGAGCGCTGATCTTCTTGCCCAGGGGATTGTAACAGGGCAGAAATCGCTTCAGGCTGGGAGGGGACCCCCCAAAACTGCTGAGAACCTCTCATCTGCAGGATGACAAGGAGTGGCTACTACAGAATGGAGAGGACGCCTACATTCTATCCGGAACGGATCAGTTGTAAGCAAGGGCCTAACGGGGAACATTCTAGGTGGGAAAAGGCTAGGGACTTACCAGGGTACATAGGGACATGAAAAGGTGCAAGCAGAGCAGAGAAAGTAAGTCCTGGCCGAATTCAAGGCATGTCAGGATTGGAAAACTGTGTCCCGTGTCAGGTTCTTTATTATACACAATGTGCTCTTTAATTCCCATTAAAGTCTAGAAGAGAAGGGACTTGGAAAGTGGGGGGAGGAGAACACCTAGTTGGACTGTACCGGGTGCGCGGGGAGAGAAAATCTGGTCATCGGGGAACCAAGTTTCAGGATTAATGGCAGCCGAAAAGCATCACCCTTTTCTATGCCACGGGTTCCACGCTAAGCATGTTTGCAAAATATTACCTACCACCTGATATGATCGAGATCAGTCACCCAAGAAGTAAGAACAGAGGGGACTTAAGGACCTCGTTCCTATAGTTGAGTTGGTACAGCTACTTCAGAAAAGTAAACCAGATAACCCAAAGGAAAAATGCGGGGAAGAACCATCCTGACCGGGATATTTACATGCCAGAGTGAGACTGGGGGGAGGAGGCCCGAGTTCCTGGAACAGGTGTGAGGGTGGGAGCGGTTCGGGGAAGACGGTGGGGATGTGAGGGAAGTGATCTGGGCGCGGGAAGGGACTCTACGGAGGGGGTTTCAGGAAACGGAATAAAAACAAAGGCTGGTCTCGGGTCTGAGGCCAAGAAAGCAATCGATAGTGTGTGTGTGTGTGTGTGTGTGTGTGTGTGTGTGTGTGTTTTACAAACGGGGCTCGGGAAGGGACGATCAGGGGACCCTGAAGGGGGGGAACTCCAAGGAGCACCTAGCCAGGATGGGGTGGGGAAGGGGGCGAAGGAGAGGGGCGGGGCGCGGGCGGGAGGGGGTGTCACTGAAGCGCGAAGGGGTCGGGTTTCGGGCAGGAGGGGTGGGGGAGGGCTCCGGCGAGGAGCCCGAGGGCTCGCCGGAGGTGGCCGAGGGGCGGGGTCGGACCTGGGCGCTGGGAGGAAGGAAAGAGGGGTTCGGTGCGCGTGGGGCCGGGAAGAGGGGGCTCGGGTCCCGACGCCCCGGGCCGGCCAGAGGGGGGCCTCCCAGCCGGGCTGCCGGGGGAGGCGCGCGGGCGGGGGGGAGCTGCGGCGGGAGGGATGGGGGCGGGGAAGGTCGAGCCCGGAGCGCGGCGCTGGGGGCGGAAAACCCCGGCTCACCGCTTGATCCGGAGCAGACACTGCGGCGCGGTTCGCTCGCTGTCCCAATCGGAGCTGAGCGTGGGGTCCCAGTGGCTGAGCAGCGCGGCCCCGTGGGCAGCGGCCGAGGGCGGGAGCCCGGGCAGCGGAGCCAGGCCGCTCCCGGGTCCCCCGGCCCCGCCCGCCGCCGCCGCCGCCGCCCACACATCCGGCAGGAAAGGCGGCCCGAACCCGCCGCCGCCGCCGCCGCCGCTAACGCCGACGACACCGGCGACGCCGCTCGCCCCGGGGCCTGCCGCCCCGGCGCCCGCCGTCGCCGTCGCCGCCTCCTCAGTCGGACTCTCCGCCATCGCTGCTTCGCTTCCGGGACTGCTCGGCAGCACGTCCGCCGACCAGAGCGGCCGCTGCTCCCTCCCGCACCCGCACCACCGAGAGCCGGGCCAGAGTGTCCCCACCCTCGGCGGCCACAGCCCGGCGGCGCTGGCCCCGCCCACCGCCGCTACCAGCGAGAGGCGCCGGGCCAGAGCGTCCACCCCTCGGTCCTCCACGGCGGGCGGGGGAGGGGCCGGAGGGAGGGCCGGGGCTCTGGGCTGCAGGGGCGCCGCGCTGTGAGGAGCGAGGTCCCGAGGCGGCGTCTCCCCGGGCGCCTCGGGGCGGCTGACTGCCCAATTCTAACGTTTCTCTCCAAAGCTGAGAGGGGAGGGAGGGAGGGCCACGTCCCTGCTTAGGGAGAGCGGCCCCAGACGTGTCCGAGGGGCAGGTCGGGGGCCGGGGAGACGCTGGACGGACTGGGATACCTCGTGCAGGTCCCTCGCTGTCCGAAAGGCTCTGGGACTTCTCCTTCCTCTCTGCACCCTCACTGCTGCCACTGCCCCTGCCTGCACCAGGACCGAGAGGAAGGAAGAAATCAGAACCTGCGAGTAAAAAAAAAACAACTACCTCGTTTTAGTGTGTATTCGATATATATTTATGAAGAGACTGTGAAATGCCAGCACTGTTGCTAGGCGTTGCCATAGGGATTAGGAAACAGACCTAGAGAGGCTTGGTGAAGGGAAAATTCAGGCCTCCTGACTCCAAGCTCGGTGTTTTTTTGTTTTATTTTGTTTTGTTTTCTTCACATAAGCCCTTGAAGATACAGGAATCAAGCAAGGGGCAGTGAGTTTATCCTGGAAGGATTCCTCAGGGCTTTCCTGAGATATGTAAGGTGAAAAATAATACTGTGGATAGGAAAAACAGCTTTCTAAAAAAAGCTTTCCCTTTTCTCCCTTGCAAGATCACAAGCTCATAATGGTGTCCCGAAAGCCTTGAGGCCAGATGTGTTTCAGAATTTAGAGCGATACTTAGCAGCAGGGCCTGGGGCAGTACCAAATACCCAAACATTGACTCTTCTACTGTAAAGTGTATGAATAATCATACTAATGCGGGTGCCCTCATGCATATTCATACTTAAGCCCACGGAATAGCCTCACTTTGGATGATATTTTGCCTCCAAATTTGTATTTGTATTTTTTAAATATATTTTTATTGATCTCAGAGAGGGAGAGGGAGCGATATAAACATCAATGGTGGAGAATAATTGATCGTTGGCTGCCTCCTGCACGCCCCCTACTGGGAATCCAGACCAAAACCCAGGCATGTGCCCTTGGCTGGCTTGAAACCTGGGATCACGTAGTCTGCAGGCCTACGCTCCATCCACTGAGCCAAAACAGCTATGGCCAAAATTTTTTTCTTTTAAGTGCAATTTTGATCCTTGCTGGGTAGCTCAGCTGGTTAGAATATCGTTTGGATGTGCCAAGGTCGCGGGTTCAATCCCTGATAAGGGCACATACAAGAATCAACTAATGGGCCTAGCTGGTGGCGGCTCAGTTGGTTGCTGGTTTAATTCCTGGTTAGGGGAAAAGCCTGGGTTTCGGGCTCCATCCCCTGAAGGGAGCGTGCATAAGGCAGCCTATCAGTGTTGCTTTATCTCCCTCCCCCCCCCTCAAAAAAAATCAATAAAAGTTTGTTTTTTTTTAAAGAATCAACCAATAAATATTGATGATTCTCTTTCTCTCTCAAATCAATAGATAAAAACTACACACACATACACACACACACACGCCCACTTTTCACAGCTTTGTGATTTCCAGGAAGGGACTGTGTTCTTGAATGAAAATGACCAACATTTATTGATAGCTGAAAATTTGTGGGGATTTTTTTTTTTTTTTAGCTGTTATTTATTGAGACTTAATATGTGTCAAACTCCTTGTATACTTTGTCTTATTCCCTTGAAAGATCCTATGAAGTAAGGACTATTCTTAGTCTGTTTTGACAGATGGAAAAACAGGCTTACAGAGGTTCAGTCACTTACAGGGGTCACACTGAGAGCAAGCTGCAGAGTTAGGGCTGGATGCCAAACCTGCCTGACTCCAGAGAAGAAGTTCTAACCACTAGCTCATACTGTCACAACTATCAACGCTGCCTGCATTTCACTTACTGCATTTTACCTTATCCCAGTTGTCCTTTAGTAACTGTTGCTCCCACTCCCAACACACACACACACACACACACACACACACACACACACACACACACGGGTCTCCAGACCATATACTAGTATTTATGAATCCAGCACAGGACCTGGCCCAGCTTAGGTACATAACATGAAGCAAAATGAATCAATACAATATTTTATACAAAATTTCATGATTCACTGACACCGTGTTTTACCGTTCTGTGATAAAGATGCTAGCATATCTCAGATAGAGTACACAAGAAACACAACCGTGCTTGCTTCTGGATGATTTAGTTGCTGACAAGGTGTGCCAAAGGGATAGAGAAATCTATCTCTTTATGCCTTTTGAATGTTATACTGTGTATCTGACTATTCAAACTGTGTGTTTTATTGATTCTTAATGGATTTCTGAATGTTGCCTGGGAATTGATTTAGTAAGATGGTCCCAAAGCCTCACACACTAAAAAACTCTCCTCCAGGCTCCGCACTGCAGAGGCCCTGCTCTGGACTCCGGGTGAGAGGACTCCTCCGTGTCCCCTCTTCACTGCTGGACCACTGTTTCTAAGCACAAGGTCCGCTAGTGAGGGGGCAATGAACAGAGAACACTTACCTTAGATCTGAAGGAAGGATCAAGCTTCTGATTTGTACCATTTGGCAAATATCTAATGTTAGCCAACTTCTGCATCCATAGAATGATGATATTTCCAACCTCTCAGGGTTTTTTGTTTTTGTTTTTTTTGAGGATTAACTGTGACATCTCCAGAAATGTTCTGTCAAGTTGCAAGCACTATCCAGCTCATTGGCACCTCTCCTGCTCATGTACCTTCTTTCCTCCTTTGCTCCTATTTTCTCTCCCTGGAATAGCCTTTCCCTCTACCAGGTGGAATTGCAGTTATTAAACGTATCCAGCCTCTTTTCCTCATCTGTAATATCGGGAAAATAATAGGAGTTATAAACAAGTAATAATGTGATAATGAATGTGTACAATACCTGACCGGAGTGAATGCTCATTAATTAGCTCTCATTACGTTTACAGGACTCGCCTTCAAAGCTGGCTGGAATATGACTTTCTCGGCCAAGCCCTAAGACCTCCAGGCACATTATTATTAGTCATTTTTAATTACCCCATCCTCTGGAGCAATTCGTGCCTTTTTTATGGCCCATACTTTTTATTTTAGCGGTTTGGTTACTCATCGGTCTAGCTACTGCAGATGATGTCCTCTAGGCAGAATCCACGGAGCACCGATCTTGTGTCGCTAGGACCGGACCAACAGATTGGAAATGAGGCCATGGTAGTTTGCTCCCCATGGATCTTTAGCGGAAAGCCATGGATCTTTAGGTTCTCACCTCTTCCTGCTCAGATATGCCTATTTTCTTTCCAAAGGGTTGACCTGAGCTTGGCACAAAAAATCTGCAAACCAAGGCCTTAAGAGCTGCACAAGATGGCAGCTGCTTACGCGAAGCCCAGGAAGCCGTGAGCTGGGGCAGAGGAGGGACCAGGGAGAGGCTCACAGGATTTTGTAAACTGGCATTGGTTACTTTACCCGGTGCTCACTGGTTTTTCCCAAGGCAGCACTGACTGCTTCTCACTGGCAGCCTGGCCAGAGGGCAAGAGTATGGCTTCTGGAGCCTCTGATGCCCTCTGGGGGTGCATGACACAACCCAGTGGTCTTCCTGCAGTAAGAGGATCCAAGCCTCTTGCTTCCCTCCCCAGGAGTGGACTGCTCTGCATTGAACTTTTTATGTATTTTATTTTATTGCATTATTTTGTTAATCTTCACCTGAGGATATTTTTCCATTGAATTTTAGGGGAAGTGGGAGAAAGACAGAGAGGAACATCAGTGTGAGAGAAACACATCAATTGGTTGCCTCCTGCATGAGCCCTGACCAGGGCCAGGCCCGGGGAGGAGCCTGCAACGGAGGCACCTACCCTTGACCAGAATCGATCGTGGGACCCTTTGGTCCGCAGGTGCCGCTCTATCCACTGAGCCAAACCGGCTAGGGCTGCATTGAGCTTTTTATGCAATAAAGTTGGTAGTGCCTTGCCCATGGCACCTTGGCAAGTGCCCTTCCCCAAGGACAGAGGCCAGCAAGCATCCTAGAGTCCATGTCGCTGCCGTGTCTCAACCCTCTCTGAAGATACACTGTTCAGATCCTTCTTCTCCCCTTCCCCCAAATCCTGTCTTTCGTGCTCTCTGGAGAAGCCCTTCCCCTCCAGGGCCCAGCCTTTGTCCTGGGCTCAATGCCAGGGAAAGATGAAGAATTCCCACCCAGGCCCTAAATTCTGTACTAAAAGGAAAAATTAGAACTTGGACTGGGTGATTTCAGACTTCTGACTATAAATAGTAATAGATATATTTAAAATTTTAGTAATGCCTGTATTATCACATATCTCAATACATCTTGATATAGATAGATCTCATGAATATTGTACACACATATATTACATGCATCATTTGCATATATTTACCTATATTATCTCAGTTGTCACAACCACCATGAATTGTTCTCATTCCCATTATACAGATGAGGCAATCAAGGCTCAAGGGGGAATAATTAACTTCCCAGTTAGGAAGTGGCAGGGCTGGGATTGGCGCACTCCTTTGACTTCTAAGTCCATACTCTTTGCTAGCATGCCAAACTCCTAATGCAGAGATTACTATTATTTGGTTATCAAATGTACCCCTGAGAACATAAATGAAAACAATGGACTCTCTTTCAAGAATAACACACATCCATATCCACTCACAAATAATTGCCACCAAGCAAAATGGTTCTGTGCATGGACCACAGGCCCGAGATAAAAACCTCAATGGTCACTGACGGACTAGCCTGGGTGAGGGAGGGGGAGCACTCTCCCCCGATGCTGTAGGGCTCCATGGGCTGCTAACCACACTTGCAATTTGCTGTCTTGGATTTCCAAGCAATTCCAAGGCTGTTTGGAGCCCACGGGGAGGGAAAGTACTGCCCTCGCAGTAAAAATGTTTCCTGGAGCTTCGCAGGAAAAAAAAAGCAGCCACCTCCCTGGGGGCTGCTCCTTGATTACTAGCGGAGGGTAGTGACCTGGCAAGGATGCCAGCCTGACATCCCAAAGGGTTACTGAGTTCCGTTTGCGTAACGGTATTAACAGTTAATCCACGGCTCCCTTGTGATACCTCGGCTGCTAGTTTAACCCCAGTCCCATTCCTTCTCTTTGGCCCTGGGATTCCTGGGCCCTGCCTTGAGTTACTTAAGGTGAAGAGGCTGGGGACAGGCAGCAGGTTATGGTAGACCAGTAGTTCTCAGCTATAAGTGATTTGTCAAAGAGACATTTGTCAATATCTACTTGGCAATTGGTTGTCATGATGGGGAAGAGAAGGTTGTTGCTGTCAACCAAGGCACATGACAACCTCACAACGAATAATCCGGCCCCAATGGGCCAAGGTTGAGCAGTCCTGTGCCAGATCATGATTGTTGAATGACTGTTCGATGGATTGGATTAGAATCCTTGGTCTGCTGCATGATCCTGAGCATGTCACTCAACTTGTACACACCTTAGATGAAGTCAGCAGTGCTAAGAACACAGGTTCTGGAGTTTGAATCCCAGCTTTACCAGCAGCTGGGCCTCCCATTTTCCTTACCTATGAAATGGCTTCGGAGGAAAGCTGGAAGTTATTCATGGAAAGTGCTCAGCAATGAGCCAACATACAAGTGCTCAAATGTCAGCTGACAGCACTGCAACTATCACTGGTCTCTGCTTTTCCTCTTCTACAGCACAGAGCTTCTGTACCCACACATTCCATAACGGAGACATTGTTCACCACTATATCCACTCTGCTGATAGCGTATTCCTTCCGAGCAAGGACCTTAGATTTCTTTGCCTTCCCCAAGACTCCAGGGGGATGCTTAGCACCTAAATATGGATACTTACATGGCTGTCTTCAAATTGCATATAAATTACGAGTCAATTTTATTGATTCACGTTTGGTGTTAATACTAATTAGGGATATTCTTGGTTTCACTATTTCACAGGTATTTTGCAAAAGGTTGAGGTATAAGGTTTTCACAAAACGGGTCCCACTTGTAAGTTATTACTCCTTTTGAAACCACCCAATTGGAGATAACCATGGTTACCAGCTCCTGTGTTCACGCTGCCCGTTTTGCTCCTGCGAGAGCTGACAGAAGCAGCAGGTGTGGGTGTATCAGCTCCTCTTTCTCTTACCTCGGTTATCAGCCCCACCTTGGCCAAGTGGAGAGCCTGCTGAGCAGACTTTTGCGAAGCTCTCAAGCAATTCGTTAGTTTGCTCCTCCTCCCCTCCCTCTCAAAACACCATTTATCCCTAGCAAAGCTAAGATTGTAAATTCTCCAAGAACAGAGACTGTGTGCCTCATCTGCTCTATTCAAGAACACCTAGGCCGCCAAAACTGGTTTGGCTCAGTGGACAGAGCGTTGGCCTGCGGACAGGTCCCAGGTTCGATTCTGGTCAAGGGCATGTACCTTGGTTGCGGGCACATACCCAGTAGGGAGTGTGCCGGAGGCAGCTGATTGGTGTTTCTCTCATCGATGTTTCTAACTCTCTGTTCCTCTCCCTTCCTCTCTGTAAAAAATCAATTAAAAAAAAAAAAAAAAAAAGGACACCTAGGCGCTTAAAAAGGTGAACTGATGATGCAGTTTACAAGTGGGACTGAACGTAGGTGCGTGGAGACCTACCTCCATCTCTAACTTCTTTGGGACTAAGTTTCCCTCAGTTGGCAAAAAGTAAAATAGATGGGACAGCATAGTGGAAGGTTTAGGCTTTCCCTGAGAAAAGGGGAATCCCCAATCCTGCCCCTTACCAGCTCTGTGACAGTAGACAAGTTATTTTGCTTCCCTAAGGCTCAGTTCCCCCCGTTGTGAAACTAATCACTGTACTTATAATTCATAGGGTTGTTGGGATAAAAACATAAAACACTCGGTACAGAGCTTGGTGCAAATGAACCCCTAAAACTATTACATGTTATTACATTAAATGTGAAGGGAAAAAGCACCAGTTATTACTTAGACAGGCTCACGCTCTCCCCGGGAGACAGTGAGGACCTCTGTGTTCTTATAGTCGCGGCAATAACATCCCTCAGCCTGAGGAGTTCCTACGCACCAACAGCGGACCCAATCTTGTCCCGCCTCTCCGCCAAGACCCTCCCCAAGGGCAAAAGGACAGAGGCACAGGCGTACGGGTTTAGAGAAATCTTGTGTTTAATGGGCACATTCCAGCACCGGGCCTGGAATCGAAGCAGCAGGGACGGGTAGGCGACCCCGCGGAGGCTCACATGGCGAAGAGGATGAGGAAGGCGACCATCAAACAGAAGAGCCCCATGGCCTCGGACAGGGCGAAGCCCAGGATGGCATAGGAGAAGAGCTGCTGCTTGAGAGACGGGTTCCTGCCGGGGACAAAGACGGGAGGAAAGGGAGAGGTGAGGGCATGGGTGGTGGTGGAGGACTCGGGTCGGTCGGGTGAGTGGGGATTGCTGAAACTGGGAGAGGGCCTCGCCTGCATATATCCTCGGGATTTGGCCAGATAAGCAGAGCACCATGGCAAGTTTAAGTGAGCCAGGTTGGAAGCATGTCTAAAATCTGATTCAGAGAGGTTTCTCCTCTCCTCCTGGGGAAAACAGGAGGTGCACAGAATAAACCAGAAGCCTCAGGGACCTCCTCTTGCCGAGGCTTCCCCCAAATAGGGTGGAATTGACGACGAGAGATAGTCTAGACCCCCTCTTCCCAAACTCACCTGGCATAGCCAATGATCAAACTGCCAAACACTGTTCCAATTCCGGCCCCTGAGCCAGCCACACCCACTGTGGCAGCCCCAGCACCAATAAACTTGGCCGCTGTGTCAATGTCCCGGGACACAACACTGGTTTGGAACTCCCGTCGGGCCACCTGGAGTGGGGAGCTACTGTAGGAAGGCTAGAGAGAGAGAGAGAGAGAGAGAGGGGAGAAAAAGGAGATAGTGAGGCACAAGGACAGGTGGCTGACTCCACCCCTTTCACCCCACCCACCTGAGCTCTGAAACTGTTGGCAAACTGCCTGGCAAGTACAAAATGCTCAGACTGCAGAGCATGCTGGGAATTACTCTCAGGGTCCGTTCTCAGAGAGGGCCAGGGAAATGGCATGGGTTAGGGAAGCCTCACTTTTGCAAGTTTCTCCCCTGCAATGCTCACCTTGGGGTACTTAGCACTATTTAAAGCACCACAGATTCTCTAACTCTCCTTCCACTTCGGCCTAAAGGCAACTCAACTAACTTGAAGGGCGTCTGTCCGGAGAAATTCATAAGAGGGCCCACAGTCCTTTACCTGTTGAGATGGGATCTCTGGCCTGCTCAGGAAGGAGGCAGACACAGGCCTGACTAGACCCCTGGTACAGCAGCGGATCTGTAAAATGAGAAAGACATGTCCCCCCAAGTCAGGCAAGGAACCTCCCGGACCCCAACCCCAAGTGCTGAGCTTCTATCTGTCCCTCTGACCTCTACTGTTTTCTCCAAACAGAAAAGGCCCAATGTATTTCAAGGTCAATTAAATATTCCTGTTTCTACCCTAGGCCTGCACCAGACAGCTATCCTGAGACCCTGGTGTCAGCAGTGGCAACCTTCCCGTTTAAAACTGGGAACCAAAGTTCACTTCTGCGGGCACAGCCCTACTCAGTATCTCAGAATGAACAAAACCCACACTGGTAGCACACCAGGAGGGCCTGTGCCTGGATCACCTAAGGAATCAGAAGGGGGAAGTCTTATTTTGCTAAAACGGTACTCACTGTTACACACCCTGAAAGGAGTGGACCCGTAAGCCCTCAGAGGCCCCTGGAACAGCCACCTCAGCAGAGCCCTGCATTACATGGCTTTCCTGACATATGCTTTAGCGCAGCGGCTCTCAAACTTGGCTGTACATTGGAACCACCTGGGAGTTCTAAAAAACACAGATGCGTGGGATACATCCTTCTTCCCAGAGCCAGTGAAGCCTGGGGATCGGGACTTTCGAAGGCTCCCCAGTTGATTTTAATGAGCAGCCAAGGTAAAGAACCACTGTATCCGTGGGCCAGGCTGGGGGTAAAGGTCAGATCCAGCCTCTCTGACCACATTCCCAAGCCAAGACAGTTTGGTTTACAGATCCACACCTCCCCCCCAAAAAAATAAAATAAAAAACAGGGATTAACTGCATCACCTCCTACAACCTCCCCAAAGAGCCAACGTCATCTCAGTTCATTCATTACACACGGATGGCTCCCACTACAGAGCGCCCGGGAGCCGCAGCTTACCAGAGCCGGAGGAATGAGAAGTGCCCCGGTGGTCTGCATCTTCCCAGTCTGCAGAGGAAAAGAGAAAATTCCACGGGCAGTCTGGCTATTTCCTTATAGCGGCGACCTTCGGCCGTCCCCCCCGCCCCCGCCCGCCATCCCTGGACCACGCTCTCCCCAGCACCGTGCCCGGCAGTAGAGGTCAGAGGGACAGCGCGGCGGGTCTGCACAGGAAGGTCATGCAGATCGGAAGCCGCGGGAGGAAGCCCGAGCCCCGGGAGGGAAAGGTTGCGAAAGAGGACGGTCTCCCGGGAAGCCTGGAGGCCGACCCTGGGCAGGCGCCGTGCAGGGTCCTCGTGCATGTCACACAGCCATGCTGCTCCGCCCGCCTAGGTCGGGACAGTTAATCGCTCATTTCCGTTGGTAATTGGCATTAATTGTTAAGGCTACAGATGCCCCTCGTCTCTCCCGGCCCCGGGGGGCAAATGCCCCTCCACCCAGCCCAGCCCACACCGCTGCCAGTCGCTGGCTCCAGGCCCCAAGTCACCTGCACTCCCGCTGCCCTGCTGCCCTTGCTCAGACCACGGCGCTCGCCCGGCTCAAGGTGACTGACTCACCTCCCAGCTTTAGCTCTAGGTTTCAGAGCTCAGCTCCCCCACCCACGTGTCTCGGGGTCCCCCCACTCTCATTGGCCGCAATCCCCCCGCGTCCCCATTGGTTAACGTCTTCAAGTCCTCTCTCCTGATTGGTTCCTCGCAGCTCCTTCCTCTCTCCTCATAGGAGCTTCGCGGCATTTCCCGCCTCCCTGCGGGTAAAGGCGGGGTTTTCTCCCTAGAGCTGGCTCCCGATTGGTTGATCTGTGAAATAAATGCTCGACCATAGAGTCGGCGGGACTCAGAGGTTCCATAACCTCCCGCACAAAATGGCGACTAAGATGGAAGGCGGCCGAAAGAGGCGTGAGAGAGAGAGAGAGATGACCGGACGCCTTCTTACGCAGACAGACACATGACCTTGGAACCGAGACTTCATTCGAAGCGCTTGGGCCTTGAGGCGCGTTGCATGTTGGGATTTGTAGTTGGGTCGTAGGCCCAAGGACAGCTGAGATCCCGCGAGACGCTCTTCCCCGGGGTTGGCGGAGCCAACGCCTTTGCAGCAATCCCCGCGTGGGTGATTCGTGGAAACCTTGCTTCCGCCGTGGGGAATAAAGGCTACCCGCTGGCCTCGGAAGTTCACAGGTGGGCTTCTGCTGGTGTTCAGCAGTCGTGCACTAGCAATCAGATGGTTTTTTTTATTTTATTTTAAAGAGTTATTTTGTATTGTGAAAACATTCTAAGGATAAACCAGTACCCTGATAGAAAAACAAGCAAAGGATAGGAGTAAGCAATTCACTAAAGGATTATAAAGGAAAAATCGTTCAACCTCACTAATCAAATTGCAACATTTCGCAATTATCAAAAGAGCAGAGTTCCTTTTATTCATGTGAGCCAGGCAATCTCCTATACTGCTGCTGAGAGTATGAAATCGAAAAACCTTTCTTGAAAGAAATTTGGCAATCTTCATTGGAAGGCTTTGAATGGTGCATTCTCCTTGATCCAGAAATTCTTGAGGAATTGAGAGCCTTTTAAAACTCTTACTACCCTTTTTGACCCAAGAATATAACCTCTGGGAATTTATCCTGAAGAAATAATCAGAAGTGCAAAGATTCTATTTAAAGGATGTGCACTGCAGAGTTTATCGAAATTGTAAACAAGTAAATGGTTCAATAAGTTATGCTATCTTTCACTTGATAATTTAAGCAGATATTTAAAATCATGTTTCCGAAGAGTACTTTATATTGAGAAAATTTTCATGATGAAAGACATGAAAAATGCAAGACTGTATGTATAGCATTGTGAAAAAGTTATGGAAAAAAAGATTGGAATGAAAATAAGACTATATTAATAGATATTTCTGGGATATACAATAAGCTTGATTTATGAGTATGCATTAAATCTGTAATAGAAAAATATAAAAAATTATACTAATCTGGAGAGTCTGGACTATTAGAAAAACATTTTAAGATTAAGGAGACTTAAGATAACCTGCCAGCATAATATAATGGAAATAGTTGGGGTTTTGAAATCCCACAGACTTGAATTCCTATCGTGGCTTTTCCAGGCATAAGTGGATATGTACCTCTGAACAGATTACCAAGTTTCTCTTATTTTCAGCGTTACAAACTACTATTTATTTAGATCTCACCATATGGCAAACATTGTTAAGTGCTTTCACCTCTTATAAAATTTAAATTTCAAAGGCAAACAAAAGATAAACAAATGGGATTATATCAAACTAAAAACTTGCACAGCAAAAGAAACCATCAAAAAAACAAAACAAAACACTAAGAGACAACCTACTAAATGGAAGAATATATTTGCCAATGATACATCTTATATCGGGTTAATATCCAAAATTTATAAAGAACTCATACTACTACTCAACACCAAAAAAATATAAACAATCCAAAATTAAAAAATAGAGAATATGAATAGACCCTTCTCCAAAAGGTGCATACAGAAGGACAATAGACACATGAAAAGATATCATTCTTTTGAAAAAAATTTTTTTAATTTTTTTAAATTAAATTATTATCTGTGTACATATTTTACCATTGCCCCCCCTCCCATACATATCCACCATCCCCTTTTGAAAAATTTTGCTGTAAAGGGGAACAAAGAAATGAAGCGGTAGCTGGATGAAGAAGTGAGGTCAAGTTAAATTTTTTTTATGATAAAAAAAAAAAATAGCAGCATGGTTTTATCAGATTGGAATAAACCAACAGAAATGGAAAAAACTGATGAGAAGGGAGGAAATAAAGGAGGATTTCTGAAGCAATGCCCTTAAGTAGGCCAGAGTTAATGGGCCTTATAACTATATTAACATCAGGCAAAATATTTTTTAAGCAAAAAACAGTATACAGAAAAGAAGCTCATATATACATTAATAAAGGGTTCAATTCACAAAGAGAATATAATTCTAAACTGTATGTATCTCATAACATGCATATAAAGTGAAAGTTGACAAAATTAAAAGGAGAAATTCACCCTCATGGTGGGAGATTTAATACAACTCTGTTGGTAATTGACAGATCTAACAGACCAATATTTAACTAGGATATAAAAGATATGACCAATACAATTAAGTATCTTTATTTATTGAACGTATATAGAACTTTGCCCTCAGCATTTAGAGTGGACACACTTTTCAAGCACAGATGGTCACTTAAAAAATTGACCACTTACTAAACCACAAGACAAGGTTCAATAAATACCAAAGAATCAATATCACACAGACCACATTCTCACGATACAATTAGATAAGAAATCAAAACATTAAAACCTGCTTAGCCCCAGTGGTTCAGTGGTTGAGCATTGACCTATGAACCAGGACGTCATGGTTAGATTCCTGGTTGGGGCACATGCCTGGGTTTCAGGCTCAGTCCCCAGTGTGGGGGTATGCAGGAAGCAGCTGATCAATGATTTTCTCTCAGCATTGATACTTCTACCTCTCTCTCCCTCTTCCTGCCTCTCTGAAATCAATAAAGATATAGTAAAAAAAAAAAAAAAAAAAAAAAAAAAAAAAAGAACAACCACCATGCATTTAGACAAAACCCAAACCCAACCACCTTTCAGATATGATTGTTGGAGTCCAAGAACTGAGGGGCAATATCTAGAAAAGGGGCCAAAACTGGTTTGGCTCAGTGGATAGAGCGTCGGTCTGCAGACTGGAAGGTCCCAGGTTCTATTCCGGTCAAGGGCATATACATTGGTTGCGGGCACGTCCCCGTTAGGGGGTGTGCAGGAGGCAGCTGGTCGATGTTTCTCTCTCATTGATGTTTCTAGCTCTCTATCCCTCCCTCTTCCTCCCTGTGAAAAAAATCAATTGTATATATATATATATTTTTTTTAAACTAGTTTTTAAAGTTTCTTTTCTTTTTAAAAAAAATATATTTTATTGATTTTGTACAGAGAGGAAGGGAGAGAAACAGAGAATCAGAAACATCGATGAGAGAGAGTCATCGACCAGCTGCCTCTTGCACGCCCCCCACTGGGGATATGCCCGCAATCGAGGTACATGCCCTTGACCGGAATCGAACCCGAGACCCTTCAGTCCCTAAGCCGACGCTCTATCCATTGAGCTAAACTGGCTTCGGCAATAAAATATATATTTTAAAAAAATATCTAGAAAAAGGGAAGTGAAGACTCATAGCCAGGCAGATATCCCAAGAAATCTCCACTACATGCAAGGCCACTTTGTTCACCACTTGTGTATGTCACACCTGTGTGCACATAGATACTGTCAGACACACATACCTTTCTCCTAACATGGCCTAAGATTTTGTCTGGTACCCCCACCAAACATGACCCAACCACCTCAAGGACAACCATAACCCATCTTCCCAAAGTTAAATCATCCACGTTCAATTAGTATCCAGAGGCCACAATGTGAGGCAGCTGTTACCCAAGGATTATAACCTAAAGATGTCTAGTCTTCTAGTTCAAGCGCAGTCTTACCTTGGGGTGGCCCCATATCATCCTGTCATTTATGGGGCCACCCCATAAATAGATGTAACTGCCATCTGCCCCACCATGTGCTCACTTGGAGCTTCCTTCCTTGCAGCAAGGTCTCATGTGGTGCAACTCAGGACAGAGTCATGGACACTTGGTTCACCAAGACCTTTTTGAGTACCTAGGTTCACCGAGTTTCATTTTGTCCATAACTTAGACATTTAGTCTATGGATCTCAGTCATTATCTTTGCACAAACTTCTTCTCAGTTCCAGCTCAGTTCCTCCCTCTCTCTCTTATGATTGAAAAAGTATCAAATGGTATAATATATATATTTAAATCCATTTTGTATCTCCCAGTGTTTTACTTACTAATAAGCATGTTCACTTAATTTTCTTGAATTTCTCCTACCCCAAAATATTTCTAAACATCTATGCTCAATTATAAGGTACATTTCCTTATATATTACTGGTCATAACAAAAATCCCAGTTTTAGTTCTTAATAAAATCTCAG